GCTGAAGAGCTGAGGGACAGTGCCCAGGCCCAGAGTTCAGACCCCACAACCAGACCCCCCCCAAAAAATATATATACATTGGAAAGAGGGAAGGGAAAGTGGTTGAGGGTGTGAGATTGATAGGAATATATCATAAGTATGTGTAGAAGTTAACAACAAAATCCCCCTTATATAACTAATGTAAGCTAATAAAAGATATGTATCTATATATACACACATGTAATGTGGATATTACATGTGTATATGTGTATACATATACATCATATACATATAGATACATACACACACACACACATACACATATATATTGAGGGCTCACCTGGAAGAGCACCAGCCAAGGCAAGCAAGCCTAGCAAGGTAAGTTTAAGCTCTACTACAAAAAAAAAAGTGTGAAAATTTTAACTTCAATATTGATGAGAAGGGAAGGTCTTGCTTATTCAAGTGGTGTCAGTTTTCAAATAAAATCTTTTTCTTTTAGGGAACTCAGGAACAAGGCAAATGTTCAGTTCAGAGACAATGGAACAACAATATCTGCTGTTAGCAACAAGGCATATGTTTTTGAAAGAAATCAATCTGTTGGAGACCCTAAAGTTGACTTAATTAGAACCATAAATATTCCTGTAATGGTAAGTTGGTATTTTAGTATAATGCTTGTGGCTTTTAGAAGGGGAAAAGATAAGGCTGTCATGGTTTTACCTAACTTAGGAACTATTACATTTGTTCATACACATCTAGATGGACCCGGGTTGTGGTTTAGTGGAACAGAATTTGCAAATATGACTCTCTGTGTTTGGTAGCTATACACTGATAATGGACTAGGTCCTAGAGAGTACAGATCAGATCCTGTCCTGCCACACTGGCTACTTGTGCAATTTATGAAGGCCTAGCAACCAGTCTGGCTCAGCGGGACAGTTCCACCACCTTGTGGCTAATGATGCCACTGTATTTGCAAGAGCTTTTCTCTTGTGACAGGACGGTCTGCAAATGACCATACTTAGCTCATATATTCAAAATGTAATATACAAAAGGAAAATAAGTAAATAGTCTTATTCCTCTAAATGCAGCCAGAGAAGAGTTCACTGTCGTGTGTGTGTGTGTGTGTGTGTGAGAGAGAGAGAGAGAGAGAGAGAAAGACAGACAGACAGAGAGACAGAGACAGAGAGGTACTGTAGCTTGAACTCAAGAGCCTGCATGCTGTCCCTTAGCTTATTTTTGCTCAATACTGAGGCTCTACCACTTGAGCCACAACTCCACTTGCAGATTTTTTGGTAGTTAATTGGAGATGAGAGTCTCATGGAAGTCAGATGCCACTGGGTCATGCCTGTAATCCTAGCTACTCAGGAGGCTGAGATTTGAGGTTTGCGGTTCAAAGCCAGCCCTGCCAGGAAAGTCCATGAGACTCTTATCTCCAGTAAATGACTCAGAAAAAGCCAGAAGTGGTACTGTGGCTCAGGTGGTAGAGTACTATTCTTGAGCACAAAGGCTCAAGAACAGCACCCAGGGCCTGAGTTCAAGCCCCATGACCAGCAGGAAGGAAGGAAGGAAGGAAGGAGGAGGGAGGGAGGAAAGGAGGGAGGGAGGAAAGAAAGGAAGAAAAGAAGGAAGGAAGGGAAGGAAGGAAGGAAGGAAGGAAGAAAAAAAGAAAGAAAGAAAAGAAAGGAAGGGAAAGAGAAAGAAAAGAAAAGAAAGGAAAAGAAGAGTCTCATGGACTCACTAGCCCAGGCTGGCTTCAAACCGCAAATCCTTAGATGTCATTCTCCTGAGTGACTAGAATTGTAGGTGTGGGCCACAGCACCCACACCCTGGCTAATTTTTCAGCTATTCAGTTTTTCATCGAAGTTTCCAGCTCCCAGTGCTGAGGGGTAGAAAAAAGTGTGTGTGATACTTTGGAGGGGACAATCATGTGTGAACTTGTCTCTGCTCCTCAGACTGTCATAGAATGGTCCCAAAACCACTTCATCAGGGAGATCATCGAGGCCATGCTGAAAGCCTATGAACAGAAGCTCTTTGTGACTCACACAGTTGATGAATTGCTCTGGGGCTACAAAGATGAGATCCTGTCTCTCATCCATATCTTGAGACCCGATATCTCCCCCTATTTTGGCCTGCTCTTTGGGGTAAGTTGAGTTTTTTTTTCCCCCCAAGCTTCTTTATTCCTCTGACAGTGGGGAAAAGGACTGACACCCATGTCAGATTTCATCTTAATTCTGGATTAAGGGAAAATCACAATCAGAAAATGCCTACAGATCTAAATATGTAAAGTACGTGAGAAATAAGAAAGTAGAAAATATAGTAGTAAAATGGATAGTTGGAGAGTAGGTAATAGCAAAAATGTTAGCCTCAGGAAGAAAGTGTTACATAGGTTAGCAGCTGGGCTCCAGGATTGTGAGGAGTTTGTGTCTCTTTATATGTATACTTTTTAAACTGGGTGCCAATAGCCTCATCTTTGTAATCTCAACTACTGGAGGCTAAGGCCTAAACATTGCAATTCAAAGCCAGCCTGAACAGGAAAGTTTGTAAGACTTTAATCTCCGATTAACCAGCAAAAAGACATAAGTGGAGGTATGGCTCAAGTGGTAGAGTACTAGCCTTGAGAGGAACAAAAGAAGAAATTGTAGTTATTTGGAGGCTCCATCTATCTATTCTCAATGTAAATCCTTTAATATCTCATTCCTTGTGGCAAAAGGAAATCATTCTGAACCTAACCCCGAGGGTTAAGGTTAACAACTTAATAGTTATTCAAACAAAATGATAAGCAAGTTTTGAAAATTGTCTCTCTGACCTAGCTACTCAGGACACTGAGATCGGAGGATCATAATTTGAAGCCAGCCTGGGGAGGAGAGTCCATGAGACTCTTACCTCCAATTAACCACCAAAAAGCCAGAAATAGAAGTAGAGCTGTGGCTCAAGTGGTAGTATCCCATCTTTGAGCACAAAAAGGCTAAGGGACAATGCCCAGGTTCTGAGTGCAAGTCCCAGTGTTGGAGCACACACACACACACACAAACAATTACCTCTTTAGAGTGGAGGTCCTTTCTCAACTTTAAATTTGAGAATGGAAATTGTCTATCCCCACACTGACCCTAGATAATTGAGACTGAAAATGACACCTATTATCTCCTTGAACAGGTCATCCTTAGCAGATTGTTCCTGATACCATTTTGCAGAGATTGCTCAGCCCGGCACAGGTGTGACCATTCTCCCCAGGAACATCAGGAAACACCCATCACTTTTCTTTTCTTTCTTTCTTTTTTTTTGGGGGGGGGGTCCGGTCGTGGGGCCTAAACTCTGGGCCTAGGCGCTGTCCCTCAGCTCTTCAGCTCAAGGCTAGCGCTCTACCACTATAGCCACAGCCCCACTTCCGGCTTTTTTCTTTTTGCTCATGTGGTGCTGAGGAATCGAACCCAGGGCCTCATGCATGCAAGGCAAGCGCTCTACCACTGAGCCACCTTCCCAGCCCTACACCCATCACTTTCCATTGGGAAGCATCCACCCACAATTGATTTCTTAGGGTTTTGGAATTCTTTTTTTAAAAAAACCTTTGATTTGTTTCCACCCATCTTGGACTGTCTATCAAGGTCTTTGCCCAATCTAAGCCACTCTTCTGAAAGTCAGGTAACATTACATTAAATTTCCAATTCCCAAAGCAATCATGCTGTTTCTCTCTTTCAGGGACTGACAACACCCTGTGAGACAATTTTTCTCCCCTAACTCTAGTCCTAATTTTTTGGGGGGGAGGGGGTCCGGTCGTGGGGCCCGAACTCTGGGCCTGGGTGCTGTCCCTCAGCTCTTCAGCTCAAGGCTAGTGCTCTACCACTTGAGCCACAGTGCCACTTCCAGCTTTTTTCCTTTTTTGCTTATGTGGTGCTGGGGAATCGAACCCAGGGCCTCAGGCATGCAAGGCAAGTGTTCTACCACTGAGCCACCTTCCCAGCTCTCTCCCCTAACTCTATAAAAAATAACTTTGGCTTTGTCTCAAGTTGTACTGGTGGGGCTGGGAAAGTGGCTCAGTGGTAGAGTGCTTGCCTTGCATGCCTGAGGCCCTGGGTTCGATTCCTCAGCACCACATGAGCAAAAAGAAAAAAGTCGGAAGTGGCGCTGTGGCTCAAGTGGTAGAGCACTAGCCTTGAGCTGAAGAACTGAGGGACACTTCCCAGGCCCAGAATTCAGGCCCCACGACTGGACCCAAAATGTGAAACAAGTTGTACCAGGGTATTCAGAGAGCCAAGCTTAACTAAGATTAGAATAACTAAAAAGTAAATACTAAAAAAATCCTCAATAATACTTTATTTTTAAGCTTATGAAAATTCTAATACTACTTTGTTTCTTCTTCCTGCAAATAAGACAGTTAGGAACACATATCTTTTATTGGTTTATTTATCTGGATTGGTAGAAAATGTTTGGTAACTATAGTTGTTAGGTTAAAAAATATTGCAGCAACAAAAAGAAAGAGTGGAGGTCCTAAACGAAAAAAACAAAAAAAGCCTTCCCACTTCTAAATCTTGCACTCTGGTAAAGCAGTTCAATGCATATTCCCTCCAAGTTTCATAGGAATACAGCTTCCACTGAGCCAGAGAAAGCACAGATCTTTTTAAAAGTTGCTACTAGATCTCCCTTCTACCTTCTAGGATGATGTCAGGAGCCCCTCCTTCAGAGAGGTACAAAGGTTTCTTCAAGTTCACTTGATCTCACTGGCTTCAGTCTACCTGACAGCACATTCATGGTACCTCTGTTTTTCTCAGATACCATTTAATTGTATAGCTTACTTCTCTGCTTTTGTATCATTGAATTCATCAAAGTTATAACCACCTGGGATTACGGGGTTGTGAGAATTTCATGAGATAATTCATGCAAAAAAAATGAAGCCAGTATCAGGAATACTATAAATAATAATTAAGGGTGTAGAACTTGTTCAGTTTCCCAGAGATCACAGCTTAGGCAGAGTTTCTATGTTGCAGTCTTGTGGAGGATTACTTGCCTTTTTTATTTGTCTGGGCTTGTTTTGTTTTGTGCCAGTATCAAGGCTTGAATTCAAGGTAGCCTGCTCCACTCCAGTTTTTTTGCTTATGACTGGCATTCTCCTACTTGAGTCATGCCACCAGTCTGGCATATGGTTGATTAACTGAAGATTAATCAGGACTTCAAACTTCTATCCTCAGATCTGAGCCTCCTGAGTAGCTAGGATTACAGGTATAAGCTACTTCCATCACAACATCTAGACTAGTATTTGACCAAACAAGTGGACTATAGACAAGGAGACATAACACTGTCATTACTGTAAATGAGCATATTCACTTATTTTCAGAAAAATGGGACAAATGATGGAGACTATGTTTTTCTAACTGGAGAAGACAATTACCTTAACTTTACAAAAATCGTGGAGTGGAATGGAAAAAGGTAAGTCTAATAACTTGTTGATATAATTGTGTTCACTTAAACTGAACCTACACTGTTGGAAACTGAGTTTTAAGGCTGAGGGTATAGTTTAATGGTAGGACAGATTTGGTATCTGGAAGGGCTCAGTTCCCCACAGCTATCCCTCTTTCCACTGTAGCTTTATATGGTGGAAGAACCAACTGGTGCACTGGAGTCTCTCTTATAAGAGCACTAATCTCCTTCCTCAGGGCTCTGTTCTCATGACCTATTCTGAAAGCCCATCTTCTGTTACCATCACCTCTCAATGTATAAATCTGGAGGGAACATAAGGCCTTTGAACTTGAGATCCTTCTGCCTCAGCCTCCTGAGGCACGCACCAAAATGCCCAACTACATGTAACCATTTTTTAAAAACTCCTTACATGCTTTGGGGGCTGGGAATGTAGCTTGTCTAGCATGCATGAAGCCCTGGGTTTGATTCCTGGCACTGTGGCTCAAGTGGTAGAGTGCTAGCCTTGAGCAAAAGAAGCTCAGGGACAGTGCCGAGGCCCTGAGTTCAAGCCCCAGGACTGACCCCTCCCCCCAAAAAAGACAAAAAACATGCTTTCACTGCTGTGCTTTTAGTGAGGATGATGTCATTTCTGTATTGATCTTTCTTATGATCCTAGAGAAATTCTCCGTTATTTTTGGAAGAAATCTGTTCAGAGGGTAGGGGAGTTAATGGTCTGTCATAAATATTAAAGAGCTGGATATGTCTATCCAGACTCCATTTGCTTCTGTCCTGCATTATCAATCTAAACTGGATTGTGCTTTAAGTAGATCAATATTTCTAAATCTGAATGTCATACATACTTTTTTTAGAGGAAAGAAATGAAATGTGGAGCCATTACCTTGATCAAAATTGACTTGGGGTCAGGACCTACTTTTTCTTCTGTTTTCTAATTCCTAAGTACTCCTGTGAGTGTGAGTGACTAAGATTCTGTGGATAACCAGCTGCAGTTATATCTGGGGAAGTCCTGGTCATCTCAGAGGATCTAAAATCCAGTTTGGTTGTCTTTCCTTGGATGCTTATCAAATGCAGGTCACTTGACTGGTGGACAACAGACATATGCAATATGATTAATGGAACAGATGGCGATTCTTTTCACCCATTGATAACCAAGGAGGAGGTCCTGTATGTCTTCTCTTCGGACTTATGCAGGTAGGAACTTTAATAATTGTTATCATTAAAAAATTGTCTTTGATTGTAGGATCACCCAAAGTGTGAGGGATATCTATAGATGTACTTATTATGTATGTTCATGTATAGTTATGAATTTTTATGTGCTCTTGGCACATTGAGAGACAGTATCACGTGGTGGGTAACACAGATTCCAGAGCCTGGCTATGCTGGCTTGAATCTAAGCTGTATTCTTCACAGCTGTATAACCTTGGGCAAATTATTTAATCACTGTTTTTCATTTTTCTCCTTTGTAAAATAGGATACAAGTAGAAACGTTCTATGTGAGGGGTTTTTATGACGACATAGGAGTTACTCTTTAAAAAAAATTTTTTTTTTTGATCAGCCATGCTTGAATTCAGGGCGTGGGTGCTGTCCCTGAGATCTTTTGCTCAAGCCTACCACTCCACCATTTTGAGCCACATTGCCACTTCTGGTTTTCTGGTGGTTAATTGTAAATAAGAGTCTCATGGGGACTTTTCAGCTTGGGCTGGCCTTGAACCATGATCTTCAGCTTTCCACCTTCTGAGTAGCTAGAATCACAGTCATGAGACACCAGTGCCTGGCACCATAATCATTTTTTTGTTACAATTTATCTCCTACTCTGGGACTGGGAAGGTGGCTCAGTGGTAGAGCACTTGCCTTGCATGCCTGAGGCCCTGGGTTCATTCCTCAGCACCACATGAGCAAAAAGAAAAAAGCTGGAAGTGGCGCTGTGGCTCAAGTGGTAGAGCGCTAGCCTTGAGCTGAAGAGCTGAGGGACAGCGCCCAGGCCCAGAGTTCGGCCCCACGACTGGACCAACCCCCCCCCCCCCAGAAAAAAACAACAACAATTTATCTCCTACTTTATTCCACAGGAAGCTGGCAGAGTTCCTCTCAGTCACTCTTTTGTGTCATTTTCCAGAAGCTTCCATGTTGTAACTGAGCTCCACTGCTAATTTACCATTCTGGCAGATGTTGCATGTTAAGTACACCCCACACTGACTTGGTATCCTTCCATCCTGACAGGTCGGTGCATGTAACATTCAGTGACTTTAAGAGCATTCATGGACTGCCTGCCTTTCACTATACGGTGCCTGCTGAAGTCCTATCTAATACCTCTGACAATGCTGGCTTCTGCCCACCCAGTGGCAATTGCCTGGGCTCAGGAGTGTTGAATGCCAGCATCTGTAAGAATGGTAAGATCTCCCAGAGGGGCCAGGGTTGTGGGTGTCTAGAATATAGACACGGGGTACAACAGAAAATACAGGGACAGTTGTGGGGCTTGAATCCGGGCCTGGGCGTTGTCCCTGAGCTCTTCAGGCAAGCACTCTACCAGTTGAACCACAGCACCACTTCCAGTTTTCTGG